CTGGGTTATCCCGGGCCGATGCTGCGGCTATTGCGGTACCCCATGTGACTGAGCACCATCTTTAATATACGAGTATGCGTGAGTTGGACATATCGCGAGTATCCTAGAGCCAGCCTGCTAAATTTCCTCATCTAGGTCACCAACTACAAACCAAACCAAAAATACAAGTGTCACCTGCTTCAAGGAGACAGTGTTATTGGAATGACAGAACAGCACTGAACTCTCCCCCCTCCCCTCTTTGGTCGAGGCATGAGCCTTCTCTATTTGACATTGGGAATATCGACAATCTTTACGGGCACCCTTTCTCAACTTTTCAAGACAGCCAAGTCCATTGAGGCATCATGCCAAATCGACTCACAGACGAGGTGCGACTAGCACGACTGGACGCCACCATTCTCATCTTTCCTGCCCTCCTTCTCCCTCGTTTCTTTTGCAGCTGTTGCCTTTATATCGTTTCTTTCCTTCAAAACAAGAGAGAAAAAAAGACGTCATGTGCGGACAAAACGGTCAGTACGGGTTTAGTTCCATGTTCAAAGGGCGGAGTCTGGACGGCTAAAGGGAAAACACAAAATTCTGGGCTTTTTTCTTTCTTTCTCGATTTTCTTTTATTTTCCGCTTCCGTTTTCCTTTTTTTCCCTTTTTTTCGGTCAAGGCAAATTATTTTGGTACGAGCACCACAGCTGGCGAAACCTCATGCGCGGATGCTCTGCCTGGGGAATAGGGCGCTTTCTTGATACCAGCATGTTTTATGTGTAAATTAGATGTAGCATGTACACTAATATTTGACGATCTTACGAGACCTCTCTTGTCTTGCCATTTTTCTATTGTGGTACCATCACGAGACCAACCAACTTGGACGCGCATGAACCAATTGCTCTTTGCATGCAGGGAGAGTAAAACCACTACGCTGTTTCCAAACATGCAAGGATGCGTTTCACAGACCTATGGCTGAATGCATCGACGCATGCGCAGAAAAAAAAAAAGCACGACACCCCGTATGACGTGGGGGTTTGGGGGAAGAAGGAGGTGCTGCCGCTTGTGCTATGGAAGCCGTGCGAAGTTCCATGCGAGACATGGGCCTCTGGCGCCGGGTATTGAATGACGAATTTCCGGTCATGGAGCTAAGGCTGTCAAGGTGGCATGCTGCACGATGTAATTCGCCAGATGGGCCAGATGCAGCGTGCTGAGGGAGTGTATCACAGCAAGTAAGGTATGAGAGAGTGTACTTACTACTGTAGGGAGGTAGGTGAATAAGGAGGTATGATGCTACCAAGCATTAGTAGGTCAGACACGGAAAATGCTGACCTCTCACACACCATAGTCGTATGGGCAGGCTGAGCTGTGCAAAAGAAGCCCAGAAGAAAGGGGAAACGGCGCATCGTTTGCTCTTCTGATACTAGTGGTGCCGTCGGAATAGACGGGAGTGATATCCGCATCAAATGGCCCGGCTAATCTCTTGCTGGCGGCATTGCAGACTGGACCGACTCGAAACAGACGGCTGGCAAGATTCATGGGAAGATGACATTTGCGAGGGGGGGCCAGGCCCGGGGAGGACACTAGGTGGCCTTTTTTTTTAACCGTGTGTCTTGAAAGCGCAAAGACCAAAGACCGACAGGTCATGTTCCCACCCCCAGTCAAATTGACCTGTCTTGCCTCTTCTAGGCCGCTATAGGTCGCCCAGGGGCGGCCATCTTGTGACCTCTGGACGGGTTTGAACTGCTGGCGCGCCGGAGATGTCTAATGCGTACAGTAATCGCGACACTAACGATTCGTGACTGTCAGGACTGGGCCATGAGCTGGGCGCGGTTTGGCGTTGACGAGAGATGAGGCTGAGGGGGCACACCAGGACTGACCTCAGCTCGTCAATGACGCTTTGTCTTGCCGCTGCCATGGCCCCTGCCGTTTCGCATCTGGTGTTCCCGGATCCCTGGGTCCTGGGAGCCCTCTTGCGAGCAATCGAGGTTCCAACTGTACGGAACAGCCGTAGGTGCGGCTGTATAAATTGCGTATGCAGATTGACTATGGCTAGCGCTTAGTTTTCCGACCAGCCGGGTCTCAGCTGAGCCGCTGACAGCACTGCCGGGCTGGATTAGCTTTGGTGACGGAGCACTTGTTACGTCTCCCGTGCTTGCGTGTGCCTCCGGCATATCGAGGCTGTTTGAGCCATGTTGAAGCGGCCATCCCGTGCGAGAGCGCCACCGCTACGGAGCAAGTTGATAGCAGCTGTCTCAAAACATGACATCTTGTGTCCCCCGGGCGACTAACGACCGGCCAACCCCCCCCGCCTAACCCCGAGACAGCCTTGGGATACCCACCAGGCCAGGCAAAGGCAATGAAATGAGGCGAACCTGCAGCAGGCGATCGCTTATGGGGAGAGATCGCATTTTGCTCTACCAATGGCCTGCTCCAGCGCCCACCCAATTGGGTACTACCGCTACGACTAGCAGCAGCAACAGCAGCAAAGTCTCCGAGACAGGCCACGGCGGGGCAGACGCACGCACTCCTCTTGCTGAATCCGCGGCGGTGACCGCTGTTTTGCAGATATCTCATGACGGATTGGGTGAATGAACAAGGGGCCAACGGGGAATGCAATGCAGGGACCACTGACCGCCAACAGGAGACCCGGTGGTGTGTCTGGTCAATGCTTTGGGTCGCCGCTGGCACCGACAGATAGTCTGGGTCACTGGACCGCACTAGCTGCAGGCCAATATGCCGAAGAGATGGAAAATTACCAGCTAGCCGGGTCCCAAGTGCTGCGACAAGGCATGGGTGTTGGATGTAAGGGGGAAAGCTTGGACGTATGCAAAAGCCGGGTTGGGTGGTCTGTCCTGGTCTTGACGCTGCTCGAGGGCTCGATTTTGGTGCTATTGGATTCGAGCCGCTGTCTGTCTTCCCTTTTGTTAGTGACGGGCTGATTTACGAGATACTAGTTTCGGGCTTTGAGAGTGGGCTACCGTGAGCTGTTCCCCGAATTGAGATGGCGGGCCTCAGCCATAGCCTTCAGAAGGTGTGGTGTATGAATATGAAGTCCATTGTAAATTGTGCAGATTGCGCAGCAAGGAAGAGTCGTTTTGGCGTTTTGGATGTTGAGAAGCTCTCCTCTCTCGGATCTGATTCCCTCTGTTCTGCTGTGATTTCTCACGTGGTCTAGTTTCCATTGGCCAATGTAACTCGAGCAGGGGTGTGCTGATGCAGTTGCTTCTTAACCAACTCCAAAGAGTGAACCTGCCTCTCTATACGCAGTGTGTCTGCATGGATCGGCAAACAAAAGGGAGAAGACAGACAAGAACACGGGACAACCGGGGATTGCATGGATCCCGGAGATTCAGGATTCAAATCCTAGTGGCCCGGAAAGTGTGCGTTGGCAAGGCGCTAATGACGAGTGAAAAAGGGATTAAGATTCGACAAAAGGGGTGAAAGCAAGTGAGTGCTCGTAAAGATTGTCCTGCAGGGTCAACATGCAGGTATGAAGAGGAGAAGGAGAATGATGAGTGAGGAAAAGAGATAGAATGAGAGTTTAAGATGTTGCGAGAAGGTTGAAAATCATCAAGTGGGAGGTGGGAAGGCGTAGCGGGGAGTTGCAATGCGTTCCTGCCACATGTTGTAGATTCTGTAGGTGCCTCAGGCAAATTTGGCGCTTCGTTGAGATGGAAAGCATTCGTATAGCTTCATTTGTTTTCTTTTCAACTTGATCATAAAACGGCATTATGCCTTTCTATTCATAAGCAGCGATGTGTTTACATTCGACGCCTCCCAAGTCCATCTGGATGAAGAGAAACATGATGCCGAAGAGGCTAGTGGCTCATCGTATACGGACAGCTTACTTTATTTTGCAACAGCTGCACTACTCTGTAGCAGACGGCATCACACCTGGAGAATTGCAACTTTTGGGTGTCTGAGCTCACATATTAGGTACGGCGGATCTGTATAACACGCGAATCCGTGGAGCTGGTGAAAGCACGACCCAGTATCAAAGAGGAACTCGGGTAGCGTATGGCAGCACCAATCTCGCAATGATTACACGAGGGCCTGTATCCGTCAGAACTGGCACTCATCAACATGACCAAGGAAGAAAAGTTTGTCAATGGACTGGTAATATCGCGGCTGTTGACTAACAGCCAATGGAAGAGACATGAGAACGCTACGAGACTCCCCTGACCTTTGGCCAAAGAGATGGATAATAGAGAGGCCAACGATGGCATCGTCTTTAGAGTCGTGGATATCGGACCCGATGTGTTTTTTTTTCAAGAGGACTGGAAGCCGCTTCCTCCCGCAACTCCAATCACAATGATCCACTTGCATCCTTATACTCGTCTCGAAAATGCACATGAGACGACGCCTTGAAGAAGAGGATGCCGAGTTTGGCTTCTCCGTCTACGCGATGCCTGTCTCTAAGGACCCAAGGGTGAAAAGGCGATGGTCACGTTGTGGTCGGCGCATGATGTTGCGCTACGAAGGCTATACATTTGTATATCGGATGTAAAGAGCTACCAGGGACTGGACAATCGATCCGAGATGAGGCCCTGCTTCCGATGGCATGGAGGCGACAAGGTGGTGGACAGGATGAATATCGAGTACTTTGACTGATGCCGAAACTTGCCTGTGTCTATTGGAGTCATTGTACTTGCTTTTACGTTGTTGGTTGTCAGCTTGGTTCGTGATCACGAAGCTATTGGATGGGCCAACTGAGAGAGAATGGTTGTGTGGGGTGAAGGTGCAGAGAGCATCGGAAGCTTCTCTTGAGCCCATCCTTGGGAATATCTCAGCGCAAGTCGTCTTTCCCACAAGCGGCAATACGGCTGACAGACACACTACCGGGAGGCTTCTGCATCTTTGCCGTCGCTGTTCTCTGATGCTCAACTTGCAGTATCCTGACATCACCGGGCTAACAATCGACCCCAAACCCCGCCCCCACCTCGACCTCGACCTCTAAGCTTCTCGTAAGCTCTGCGACAGCTCCAGCCTCCACTTGGAGAGGGCCCACGAGAGCCCGTTTACTTATGAATCGATTACTATATGCAGGCCGTTATCCGAGTACGCGTAGGGACTTGGACTGCTTTGAAATACGTCAGCGCCTGACTTGACGCTGCCGTGAGCCGTGGATGAAGCAATCGATGATTCGCGACGATTGACAAGATCCGACGACACCGGCGACAGCATCAAGCACACAGCCAACAGCATCATCCCTGACAGACAGACAGACAGACAGACAGACAGACACATTGCAGCCCAACTACGGTACTTGTTTGTCCGGCCCGAACCGCGCAGTTTCATGAAGCATCTCCGTCGTCTCTCCACTACGTCTGCGACGTCGACGACTGCCTCTATCGCCGGTCCCCGCAACAACCTCCACAGCAGCCCCTCCACGTCCATCCCACCTCACCCGCAGCTCCAGACCTGCTGTCAACTTCACCCTCTGCTTCAATCTCAATCTCAATCTCAACCCAAGCCTCAACACCATCGCCACTACCATCGCCAGTCCGCCGTGACCGCAGCCCAAACCCGCATCATGTCGACCATGCCCGCTTCCCACGGCCACAGCGCCGCCTGCTGCAACATTCCTCCTATCGTGTCCAAGGGATACCAGCCCAAGGGCTCGTATGAGGAAGTCGGCGGCTGGAAGACGTGTAAGTTTCTCATGATCACTATCCGATGCACATGATCGCAGCCCTCCCAGTGAAGAGTCCTTGTCGCTGAGCCCATCTGCCTCTTGTGCTTTTTTTTAGATGTCACTGGCCCCGCCGACGCTACCAAGGCCATTGTCGTCATCTACGACATCTTTGGCTACTTTGACCAGACTGTCCAGGGAGCCGACATCCTGGCCTATAGCGATGATCACCACGAGTACAAGGTGTTCATGCCTGACTGGTTCAGAGGCAAGCCGTGTCCTATCGAATAGTAAGCCACCTGAGCAGTTGCGCTCTGGCAGAACCCGACTGACCTGACCTCTCCCAGCTACCCTCCCGATACACCGGAGAAGCAAGAGGCCCTGGGCAAGTTCTTTGGCGAGTTCCCACCTCCCAAGATTGCCGGCTATGTGCCCGAGTATGTGGAAGGTGTCAAGGCCCACAGCCCGGCTGTTTCCAAGCTGGCTTTGCTAGGGGTAAGCTTATCAACGCCCTGCTTGTATCTGTCATGCTACTTGATACTGATGTTTTTTTTTGTTGCGGAACAATAGTACTGCTGGGGCGGCAAAGTTGCTACTCTCACAGTCAAGGCGCCAACAAACCCCTTTGTTGCTGCGGCCGCGGCTCACCCCGCCATGGTCGACCCTGCTGATGCCGAAGGCGTCCCCGTCCCCTTTGCGCTCCTGGCGTCTAGAGATGAGACCCCAGAGGATGTCAAGAAGTTTGAGGAGAACCTCAAGGTACCCCACCACGTCGAGACGTTTGCTGACCAGATCCACGGCTTCATGGCGGCGCGTTCCGACTTGAACGACGAGCGGGTCAAGGCCGAGTATGAGAGGGGCTACAAGACGCTCTTGGAGTTTTATGGCAAGCACGTGTAAAAGAGACAAGTGTAAAAGTTTGAATCATGTGTGTTGGCTACTTGTAAGCAAATGCAAATGAAGAACAGAATGAGATGAATGAACGAAATCACAGTAGGGAACTTCGATTCCGCGAGAATCTAAACAAGGTTGCCCCTCAGTGATGCCTTTACTCTGCCTCTTCATGCTGTCGGATAGAGCTACTCCTACGAGGGACGGATATAACAGCCATGACCGCAGCGGAGATGCTCGCTACAGAACCATACTTGATGGGGGATGGTTTCCAGAACTCTTATTTTTTGTCTAGGTCACCAAGGTAATGAGATGCAAGCCATAAAAGCATGATTGAATCAAGGTTCAAGTAAACCAGGCACCGGATCAAAGCCGCTTGCGTCAAAGGGCCCAACAGAATGACATGTACAGCGCAAGTCGTACAAAATTAGACTCACCACATATGGTACAATTTGAAAGCGTTGTAAGGTAGGTAAGGTAGGAGAAAAAAAAAACATACGGCCTGATAGCCCGTGAATCTGCGGCTCTGCGGGCCGGAGCGGGGAAGCGGCAGCTAAGCAACGATGATTGGTGTTGGGAGCTGAGGCCATCTCACTGCATCTCTTGTCGACTTGTTTCACGATAGCATTCCAATCTGACGTTGCACTCATGCATGAAATTGCGCATGTCTCCTAACTGTCTCTCGTCTGTCCAGACTTCTTCGTCATCACTCTCATTTATATATATATATATATACGTTTGAAGGGGACAAGTCGAAGACCAAGATAGACAAGCACAGCCCATCATGGCCCATCCCAGCGTCTTCCTCTGGGCTCTCGACACGCGCAGTCTCTGGCCCGAAGCCGGCAACACCAAGGACCTGCCCAAATACGTACGTCTTCATCATCTCATCCCGCCTCATTATCCCTTGTATAAACAAACAAACAAAACAAAACAATCGTTCCTCCCAGCTAACCAACATCCCCCGTCTCCCATCCACAGGCCCAGCGCGCCCTCGCCCTGCTCTCCCCAGAGGAACAAGCCGCCGTCCTCAAATACTACTTCGTCAAGGACGCAAAGCTCTCCCTCGCATCCTCCCTGCTCAAGCGCCTCGCCATCGCCCGCTACTGCCGCGTCCCCTGGCGCTCCGCCACCGCCGTGCGCGACGCCCGCACAAAGCCCGTCTTCCTGCTGCCCTCGGGCGCCGAGCCGCTGCTCTTCAACGTCACCCACCAGCACGGCGTCGTGGTTCTCTTGGGCGCCTACGAGCCTCCCGCGGGCGTCGCCATCGGCACCGACATTGTCTGCCCCGGCGAGCGCCGCGACCGCGACGTCAAGCACGTCCGGACCCAGGGCTGGGCCTCCTTCATCGCCATGCACTCCGAGGTCCTGAGCCCGCTCGAGGTCAGCCGCATGCGAGGCCTCCCCTTTCCTGTCCAGCAGCCGCAGAAACTGCTCGACTACTTTTACGCAAACTGGTGCCTGCGCGAGGCCTACGTCAAGATGACGGGCGAGGCCCTCCTCGCTCCCTGGCTGCACGACCTGGAGATGCGCTACTTTGCGCCGCCGGGAGACTCGCCGCCTGAGGGAGCGGACAAGGCGCTCGAGGTGTGGTTCAAGGGCGGAAAGCTGACGGATGTCGACGTCAAGCTGGACTGGGCGCTGGGCAACGAGTACATGATTAGCACGGTGGTGAGGAGGGGAGAGAAGGGAGAGGGGCTGGATGTTCCGGAGCCGCAGAGTTTGGATTTGGAGGAGACGCTGGCGAGTGCGGAGGGATTGTTGGAGGAGCTGGGCGAGTGAATCACTGGGATGGCATGTTTATGAATCAAGATTGGATGGAATACAAAAGAGATGGGATGGATAAATGCATCATGACAAGAGACGGACGGGATAAGCGGGATTGCAATTGCTGAACAAGCTAGTTATGTCTACTAGATACGAAAGGATCTTGATTTCCTCTCTTCTTTACTCATTTAACTGATGCCATATCTATGGAACCATGCATGATCGATGCTCCCAAAACCCCTTACTCCTCACCATCCTTCTCTTCTGCCCCCTCAGACGGCGCCTCTAGTGAAAAGGTAAACACCTTGTGCCCTTTCCTGCCAGTCTGTTTCGCTTCCAAACTCTCTTCTTTGCTCTTCTCCTTCTCCTTTTCGTCATCCTTCTTGTCTTCGTCCTTCTTCTTCTCATCCTTGGTTGTGTCCACCACGCCGTCCTCCAGCTTGCCAATCGTCTTGACTGCCTTGCCTTCCCCGTCTAGGTCAACCACCACGTCTACCGTGTCTAGGCTTCCATCCTCAGTGTACATCCACAACTCCTTAAACTCCCCGCGCACCAAACTGGTCAGCAATAAAGACCCAAGCACCCCCGGCACGAGATACAGCAAGGCTGGCTGTCCGTGCTTGAAGATGAGCAGCATGGCCAACGTAACTAGCATTCCTACAAAGTATCCCACCATGGAGGCGTAAAAGTACGTCTTGGGGAACCTTGACGCGGCAACCTCGGGAGGAAGGGTTTGTGAACTAACAAGGCCGAAAGCTTGACGAGTCCAGATGCGCTCTCCCCAGTTTCCTTTGACATCGACATATGGGGTCTTAACCTCTCTGTGCTTGGTCTCGCTTCGCGTGATGACTTCTCCAGAGCTGGAGTCCTTCTCAATAATCTTCAAGTCAGTGGATTCGTACTTGATCTTCCGATAGTAGTGAATCCAAAGATCAAGTCGAAGGGCCCAGCCAATAACCATTCCAGGAATCACAATATCTCCGAGTCCAAGAATGCTCTTCCTAGACGCTGCCTCGTATGTGAGCTTGATGGGCACGTCAAGAGTCGTGGCCACCGTCACCATATAAGGACTACAGACAAGATGCGTTAGTTTCTACATGTGCAAAGAAACTAGACGAGAACGACTCACGTATAAAACACCATGAAGATGTCATAGAAGAAGAGACCCCACAACACGAGCGATCCAGTGAGGAAATCCGTCGGCGAAAGAATCAAAAACGACCCGTAACACATGCCGTAACCCAGCATATTGGACAGGAATGGCCACGAGGTCGCAAAGTACACAATCGCCGTCACCACAGCCATCAGCAGCGCCATCATGTGCGCAAACTTGACGTGCGCCGTCTCTTTGCCCATCCCATGCACAAACATCTCTAGCAGCCAGTGCCTCGTCAGGAGATCCCTCAGGTTCCAGGCCTTGTGCTGCAGCCACGCCACCGGCGTAAAGAGTCCCAAGGCGCCGGGGAGCGGATTCGCCCTACCAGCGTCGAGGCTCTCGACTTGGTTGCCCGCATCGTCGCAAACCGCAACGGTCCTCTCGGCCTGATCAACTCTTCGAAGCTTTCCGTCTCTCCCACGCCAGAAACGGGGAAACACAAACGACGTCAGCACTTGGATCCCATGCGCATAAAACGTCAGCAAGCTCGCCATGGACATGGTGGTCATGTATGAGCGAAGAATCTTGTTGATGATTGCTGGGTCCTGGAGCCACTGGATGAGATAGTAAAGCCCAACAAGGACGCAGGCAGCCATGATGGGAAACAGGATGGCGTCAGAGAGCTCCAGTCCCTGGGTGAACGTCTCATCGTCCTGCTTCCGGCGTTTCTTGTCCTTGGAGACGGCCGCAGACGGTGGACGGCGTAGAGAGCCATGGGCTCCGAGATAGATGATTCCCATGGCGCCGCTGACGAGCTTCAGCTCTAGCAGGAGGAAGCTCACATCTTGCAGGGTGTCCAATAGTGAAGCCGGAGATGCAGCGGATGTAGTGGTGTTTAATGTGACGTTGAGGCTGTCCAAACCCTCCATGAGGGTGACGTTTGTGGCAGCCATCGTTTATGTATCAGATGCCTCTATTGTGTAAGGATCAGAATGCCAGCTGCTGAAGATATTTCGTAGACATGCCCCAGCAGGCGAAACGTGGTCTGAACTTGACAAGGCTGATTTATGACGTTGGCCGGGGCAGGCAGAACATTTCAGGTTTCAGATGGTGTGACACTTCGAATCAAGCCAATCCAGTGCAGTTGGGAGAAAAGCAAAAAGGATGAGAAGGAATGACTGTGGGTTGTAAAGAATAAAACCCAGGAGCTCCCAATCTTGTCCTCTATAAACACGAAGCATCAAAGGATTCAATAGAAGAGTCCACCTACCTAGTAGACAGTCATAGAAAATACAGTGGGTTTCAGAAGAGACGCCACTAATCGGCCACCGCTGCAGCGCCCAGACGAGGCAGCCAATAGCGCGCCCCGATAGCGATAGCACACCAAGCCAGCCAGCACTAAGCATCGCAGCCTCGTCCCGCAGTGACAACCAACATTCAGTCCTTCATATCCTTGATCCCATTTTTTCCAAATCCCACCGTCAAACCCCCCCCCCTAACAAGTCCCAATCTCTCCAATCATGACTACAAACGTCGTTCTAGAAACCTCAATGGTAAATCCCCTCCCAATTCCTCCTCCCTAAAAAAACAATCTACCCAAAACCTCAGTCAAGAAAAAAAAAACTACAAGATTCTAACTAACTTCCTCAAAAATAAAAAGGGCCCCATCACCCTCGAGCTATACACCTCCCACGCCCCCAAGACCTGCAAAAACTTCGCCACCCTCGTCTCCCGCGACTACTACGCCTCCACAATCTTCCACCGCGTCATCCCCGACTTCATGGTCCAGGGCGGCGACCCCTCCGGCACCGGCCGCGGCGGCTCCTCCATCTACGGCGACAAGTTCGACGACGAGATCGATCCGGCCCTCAAGCACTCCGGCGCGGGAATCCTCAGCATGGCAAACGCCGGGCCCAACACGAATGGCTCCCAGTTCTTCATCACGCTCGCACCGACGCCCTGGCTCGACGGCAAGCACACCATCTTTGGGAGGGTCAAGAGCGGGCTCGGCGTCGTGAAGCGCATGGGAATGGTGCCGACGGGGCCCGAGGACAGGCCGGTGGAGGAGATCAAGATTTTCAAGGCGCGGGTGGTGGAAGATGATGAAGAGCAGCTTTGATCTGTCGGACTTGTGTTGAATATTTGGTCAAGTTGGGAGTGACATTGTGAAAAGGAAACACGGCATACAATAATGTGGGTGCATTTGACGCGGCTTTTTACACATCATATGTGTATTCAGGCGTCTTTGTATATGGCTTGCGGGTTGGCATAGACGGCACGGCATGGCGTTTCGATATTCTTACTATTTATTACACTGATTGGGAGCTATTCGCCCTTTTTCGTCAGCCACGCGTCAAGAGCAAAACAAGGTGGCAATTGGGCTAGTCTCAAGAGTATTTTACACAACAGTAGACGGCACATTGGAGCTGAATAAGAAAGAATAAGAAGAACTCTTCTTACTTTATACATATAGATTTCATTAACCTAAAGCAAAAGAATGAACTAAAGTCAAGATGCAAAGATTCGTTTTCCACCCAACGCCAAAATTCCCGGTTTTCCCTCGGGATGCTGGTTGTATCATCGTCTTTATGTAAAAGCCAGTCAGCCAGCCCAATAGCCAACCTGCCCCAGAGCTGCAAAATAATAAAAAGAAAAGAGACTGCAAAGCAAAGCAGCCTGGGGGCTGATTTTTCCGTTGATTTGTTTTTTTCTCGTCCTCCTCTCTTGTATCTCTGAAAGAAAAAGAAAGAAATGATGGTGGTAATACATATCCATGGATATCAAAACTACAAAGGCCCTCCGCTTCGAGTCTATCCCGTATCCAATTAGCTAGCTGGTGATGGTGGTCATGCAGAGCAGACGCATGCATGCATGATTTCCGGATTTGTTTGATGCCCCTCTCCCCCTTTAATGGCGAGGTGGTGAGGAGAGAGTTCCCGACGACTCCGACTCCCCATCAATATCCCGACCGTTCTTCGACATGGGCGAGCTCAAGGCTGGCTTGGTCACCTTGAGTTTCTTGATCGGGCTCTCATTCTTGGACTTGAGCTTATTCAGCACCTTGGGCGAAGGCACGTCGTATTCAGCCTTTTGTTCCTGGCTCAACGAGCTGCTCTTAATCTTGTCCTTCTTCAAGGAGGGCTTCGTCTTGATAATGACCTTCTTCGTCTGGATGTGCTTAATCTTCTTCTTCTTGTGACTGGTTTCCGAGTCGTCGTCGTCGTCGCTCACGTCTCGCTTCCTGGGGCTCTGTGCCCGAGATGTCGGCGTAGGAGTAGCCTTCTGAGAAGGAGGAGGCGTCGGCTCGTTCTGGGAACCGCTGCCATTCATCCTCTGAGCGGCTGCTCGGCTGGCGTTGCGGCCACTGTTGCCAATGCAAGACCCCATGTGATTATTCAGCCGTGTAACCAGGATGCATCTCTTGCACTTGCTGCAGGTTGCAGAAGGGAACGAGAGAACATTGGGAGGGCGCTGCTCGGGGGCATCCGATCCGTCCTTTTTGTCCATGTCCTTCTTCTTCTTGCCCCTTCCTGGGCCCGGTCCAACCCAGCTCTGGCCGTAGATGTCGCACCCGGGCTTCTCGATGAAGGGGTGTTTCTTACAGTAGACAATCGTAGGGTCGGGCTTTCGGGCGCCTTTGCCATCGGTAGGATAGAGCAGTCGCGGCAGATGGCATCGGGGACACAGGATATCCGCCGTCGTCTTGAGAGGGTTACCCTTTAGGAGCACCTTGCCGTCCTCGTAGATGGCAGCATCCGTCTCGATTCGCACGTCGGGAGCTGAGTCGGGGGTCGAGCTCTCTGAGGCGTCCGAGGCCAGCTTCTCGACTCGAATGGCAGCGGTTGTCGCCCTCGCCGTCTTCTCCTCTCGATGCGTCTTCATCAACAGGTCCGACACGATGTTGTATAGCATGTCATCGAGCACCGAATGCGCCTATAGCGACGAGATGGGGAATTGTCAGCAGCCGCATCTTGCCCAAGAGAGCATTTCAAGACTGATTGGCGATGCACGCATGCAGCAGACTGGTCCTCGTCCACGACAGACGTGGCAGCAGGCAAATCGCAACACCAGTAACAGGCTAGGCTCTGGACCAAGCCCAAGCGGTGTTCTTGCAGGCCAAGGGTGGGAAGATGGGAATTGCATCAGTGTCGACGACTTACCAGTTTATCCATGCTGCCAGCATCATCCCGGGCACGGATGATGCCCGCCCGACCCGAGGCTGAATTCATGATGTGCCGCAGTAAGCCCTGGATAGGGAAAGAAGGGGGTTTAAAAAAAATTAAGGATCCAAGAGCTGAGGTGTGTGTGTGTGTGTGTGTGAGTGTCGGCTCTGTGCAACTTGGCGTCGTGTGATGGATGACCGAGCAATGCCGGGCGGAAAAGGCGGTCCCGGTTCTTCGCCCCCGGTTGATCTGACGGAAAGGCTAAACAAAGGCAAATAGAACGATGGATGATGGCTCAAGATTGGAATCGGAACGCTGCTAGCATCAAAAGTACTTGGGTAGTGGTGCGCCGCCTGCGGTTCTTTCGTCACTTTGCACTAAGCATTCCGCTGAGTAACTCTGGGGGGGTTTGGTTGGGCTAGGGTGAGAAAAGAGAAGGAAGGGCGATCTCTCTTTTTTTTTTTGTAATGTCCGTCCGTGTGTTTTCTCTCTGCAAGCGCTGATTTCTCTTGAGCGACGGAATTAAAAGCGATGGTTGGACGCTCCTCTCGGCTTGGCGAACTTGGCTCTGGCCCCTCGAATTGTCAGCGGCTACTTGTGAGCAGAGGGAGATGAGAACATGGAAGCTCTGCTGGGCGCAGGGCCGTGGGAGGAAAAAAAGGTGGATTAGAAACAGAATGGAGTGTTAAAAGGCGATTGAGTGCAGAATCGGGGTTTTGGGCTGAGGAATCAATGCACCCCCCAGCTTGCCCTGCTGACTCTTCAGTGGCTGCTCAGATTGCATTGACTTCATGTGCTCGTGCTGTGCGCAAAGTGATGCCGGCATGCCGCTAAGGCGCCTGTTCTGTTGGTACAGGCTCCGTAATTGCGGGATCTCCCCCCCGTCCAGTGTCGTTTTAGGCTTTTAGGGGACGAAGAAGCTGGAAGGGCTTGCGTGCAGTTGAGCTTCTCCAGCGGCTGGTTACCGCTGAGTTACAGCGCGCACAGGCCCCTACAGCTCCATGGTACATGTCCTCCCGTGCCTCCGAACATGGATCCCATCCCGTGCCTGATGATTGATGCTACTCTCCAGCCAGATCAAGAAGCCCAGCCCTCCAATCCATCCCTTACATGCTGCAACGGACAACGGGCATTCGAGCGATGAGACCGCCCAATCCGGCGCCCAGAACTGCGCATGTAGATTTTCCCAGATTGCAGATTGCATCCCCCCTGACTAGCACATGCGATGCGCGCCCAGCATCCCGCCCACGTCCCCTGACCGCGGAGCATTTGCAGCCTTATCGCTGATAAGCACCCGGCGAGCGCCGTTTGCAAAGCGGCCACCCGAACTCAATCCCGCAGTAGATCCGCCAGCCAAAAAAAAAAAGAGGAAAAGAAAAAAAGCCCCCTGAACGCGTGCGAGACAACCCACCCAATCGTAAACCTTCACATCCGTCACATCCATTGATAGTAGATACATTTTCTTCCTTTCGTATCTTGCCTTCTTGCGGCACTTTTCTTCGGACAACGTGTGCTCCCTTGAACTCTTTTGATTCAAACTACATTCTTTAACTGGCCCCCGGTTTATAACTGGTTGGCCTCGCTCTCCAGCTTTTTCTTTTCTTTCTTTCTAGCATTTCTACAGCACTTTCTTAATTCCGGCTCCATCCAGCCCATCTTTTGTTTCGTCATGTCACTCCCTACCACCGCCGGCAAACCCTCGCAAACCTCCATCCGATCCTTCTTCCAGGCCAAACCGCCGCAATACGCTCCGCCGCCTTTGAGCAAAAGCAACGGCTCATCCATTCCTCTCGCGCCAGTATCTCCTCCATCTCAATTGCAATCTCAATCCCAGCCCTCCGAGTCCGCCCCGCCTCCGGATTCTACATCCCCACACTCCGCCGCGCCATCCTCACCTCCGTTGGATCGAAGCCAAGCAGCTCAAGAGCCCTCAAGTCACCCCCGAATCCCCCTCGAAGCCTCCATCCGCCCCATCGCCGCCGCCGACATCAACGCCCTCCGCCGCCTCAACGCCCTGCTGCTCCCCGTCAGCTACCCCGAGACCTTCTACAACCGCGCCGCCGACCCCGTCACCGGCCGCTTCTCGCGCGTCATCTGCTGGGCGCACCAAGGCGACGCTCCCAAGCCCGTCGGCGGCATCGTCTGCCGCGTCGAGCCCGACGTCGACGTGCGTGCCGCCGGCTCCCAGGCCGTCCAGAACATCTACATCCAATCGCTGTGCCTGCTGTCGCCATACCGCTCGCTGGGCCTCATCGCCGCCGCCCTCGACGACATCATCGCCGCCGCCGTCACCGACCCGGCCGTCAACGTCCGAACTGTCACCGCCCATGTCTGGACCGAGAATGAAGAGGGCCTGCACTGGTACGAGGCGCGCGGCTTCCACAAGCAGGAGCCTGCCATCAGGGGCTACTACATCAAGCTGCGCCCCGACTCGGCCTGGCTCGTGTCCAAACCCGTCAGCGCCTCCGTCCTCGCTTCTCTCCCGTCTTCGGCGCCCCCGCTGTCTCGCCCCGACATATCCAGCACCACCGCGGCCGTGCTGAGCCTGCCGCCCGTGGCGAACCAGCCCCCGGTCAGGCCACCTGCCAGAGTAGCATCCGGCAAGTCGTTCCAGAACCAGCGGCCCGAGACGGAGTGGAATGATCTCCCTGCAGACATGGCACCGACTCTCCTTGGGCCGCCGAAGAACGGCAGCGAGCCGGGATCCGGCGCGAGCTCTAGGAGCAGCTCCACCGTAAGAAGGAAGAAAGATAGATCATACCCAGCTGCGGCATTTGGACAGTGAAGCACCATCATACATTATAGAATTGCTAGGAAATCATCCAATTCTTTGGTTGCAAGTGAGCCAGAGAAAGAAAGAGAAGAAGAAAAACAAAACTCTAGGG